GAAAGGGACCAAGGTGCACACTCAGGCAGGAAGGAAGCAGATGCCCAGTGGCAAGGCTGAGGAGCTTGAACGGCAACCTGAGGGTACCTGGGAGCCATCTGTAGGCTTTCAGCAGGGGAGTGGCTGCTATGCAGAGGGCAAGGGGGGCAGTGAGAGGAACAAAGACAGCCCAGGATGAGCAGGAGCCCTGGAGATTGTGGCCTCTGAAGCCCTGGCCCTCACCTGGTACACAGTGGGCAGGATCCAGCCGTTGCTCTTGCAGAGGGTACAGATCTCAGCCACTTCCCAGGAGGCATAGTTGGAGAGGCCAAGCTCCACAAACTTGCCCTGCACAGGTGAGGCCACAGTCAGAACCCAGTACAGCCCAAGAGACCAGGAAGGGGAGGCCAGGGTGGGGCCCTGGGTAATGGAGCTGCTCTCTGCTCCACCCTGGAATTGCCCTGGTGCATCTGCTCTCAAGAGTAGGATCAGGATAAAGAAAGGGGCAGGAGCCTGCCTTCGGAGCTTGGAGTGCCCCCTCACCTCCTGGTGTAGCTGGTGGCAGGCGCGCAGCGTCTCTTCCACTGGGGTGCCGTGGTCAGGTGCGTGTAGGTAGAAGAGGTCCACTCGGGGACACTGCAGCCTCTTCAATGACGTCTCCAGCTGGGACCGAACACTATCCGGCTTTAGTGATTTTCCATCCCAAGGGTTGGCCTTGGTGGCAATTTTCACTTGGAGAGAGAAGGGAATGATTAAGTGACCTATTAGGGCCATTTGCTAACCATGTAACCCTGGCTAAATTACTTCTATTCCCTTGGCCTCAATTCCATGATTCATAAAATGGGGTGATAATAATCAAACTATCCTTACTGAGGGGTCCTGGGGATTAAATAATGTCATATATGTGAGTTCTCAATGTTCACCTATTAGAATAACTATCATTAGTCACCAAAACTGCTGGCTGTGCCAGGCCTTGTACTAGAGACTAAGTATGCAGAGATGACCTGAACACAATGGCTCTCTGCCCTCCTGGAGCCCAGTCTAGAGGAAGGTACACCATGGTAAGCACAGGAGGGGAACACCCACAGTGCCAAGGAGACCGGATGAGATGCATGAGGCCAACTTGGGGACTCCAGGGAAGGCTCTCCCTAGGGGATCACCCCCAAACAGAGTCCCAGCAAACAAGGAAGAGCAGAAGGTACATTCCAGAGCATGGGAACCCATGCAAAGTCAGGCAAGAAAACAGTATGTGAGGCTCCAAACCTTCAAGTCTAAGTTATAAAAGCATAAATTCCAGAGCAAGGAGCAGTGGGACACAGGACAAGAGACGGGACAGACATGATCCCAAAGGTTCTTAAATACCATCCCACTGAATCTGAGCTTGATCATTCCAGTTTTTTTCAGGGTGTGAACCAGTCACCTGTATTCACACTTGGCTGCAGTACAGAGAAAGATGTCAAGGGGGCAGGCCTAGAAGAATTTAGGAAACAGATTCAGCCACATGAATGTGGCGCACTAGTAGAGATCAATTTGACAGCCTAGAAGGCAAACTGAGCAGAATGTAATTACAATCCTCCCTCCCCTCCCCTTTCCGAATCACAGAGCATGAGCATACATCCAACCATGTGGCGATACATCGCTATGACAACAGTGTTATGCATGCAAGCAGCTTGGAAATGAGTTAATTTTGAACTGTTATTTCCCCTATAAAGAACCCTAGCTGTTGGTCCAGGTACAGCGGCTCACATCTGTAAACCCAGCACTTTGGGAGGCTGAGTAGGAAAGATCACTTGAGCCCAGGAGTTTGAGATGATCCTGGGCAATGTAGCAAGACTTTGTCTCTACAAAAATAAAAACTAAAAAAGAACCCCAGCTGGGCGAGGCGGGGTGGCTCACACCTGTAATCTCAGCACTTTGGGAGGTTGAGGTGGGTGGATCACCTCAGGTTAGGAGTTTGAGACCAGCCTAGCCAACATTATGAAACCCCATCTCTACTAAAAATACAAAATTAGCTGGGCCTGGTGGAGCGTGTCCCAGCTACTCAGGAGGCTGAGATCACACCACCGAGCTCCAGCCTGGGCGACAGTGAGACTCTGTCTCAAAAAAAAAAAGAACCCCAGGTATCTGGACTGGTAGGTGGATGGGTTTTGCACTTTTCATACTTGGCCAAGTCAGTTCAGTAGCTCACAGGGGTGTCATGAGATCAGCTGGGACACGGGAGAGAACAAATTCCACAGTTTCTCACCCAGATTTTCTCCATTTCCTCAGAGGCCCGCAGGCATTCCTGGCATGAACTTTGCCTCAGGTCTGGCATGAGGACTTTGGTCCAGTGAGCTCCTGGCCTCAAAGATGGAAGTGGGGAAGGGTTGGAGAAGAAAAACAAACTCAGAAACAAAACCTTCATTATTAATAATATGCAACCTGGCTGGGTGCAGTGGCTCACGCCTGTCATCCCAGCAATTTGGGAAGCTGAGGTGGGCGGATCACTTGAGGTCAGGAGTTTGAGACCAGCCTGGCCAATATGGTGAAACCCCATCTTTACTAAAAATACAAAAATTAGTTGGGCGTGGTGGTGTGCACCTGTAATCCCAGTTACTCAGGAGGCTGAGACAGGATAATCAATTGAATCTGGGAGGCAGGGGTTGCAGTGAGCCAAGATCGTGCCATTACACTCCACCCTGGGTGACAGAGCAAGACTCGTTCTCAAATAATAATAATAAATAACATGGAGCCAGGTGAACTAGACAGAGCGTGGGCCTGAATTCACACTCGCCCTCTTTTCCCCTGACCCACCACACGCTGTGACTCTAAGGAGGACCCAGAGAGAACCTCTCTTGGGGTGGGGGAAGCTAGAGCATCCAGATGGTTGAGTAGATGAAGCATGGAAAGGGTAACAGCCCACATTTCCTGGGCCCTCACTGCTTGCCAGGCACCCTCTCCAGGGCTATCAATGGCGCCAGGCTCATGAGGGACAGTCCCCTCCATCCTCCACTCATGCCACACCTGGTCACTGGGCTTCCTTTCACACATCACGCACATTCCTTTTCCAAACCAAGTCTTTGCGCAGACTCGAATACTCCTTTCTCTTGTTCTCCTCCAAACTGCTATTTTTTTTTTTTTTTTTTCTTTTTGAGACGGAGCCTCGCTTTGTAGCCAGGCTGGAGTGTGGTGGCAAGATCTCGGCTCACTGCAACCTCTGCCTCCGGGATTCAAGTGATTCTCCTGCCTCAGCCTGCTGAGTAGCTGGAACTACAGGCGCACACCACCACATCCAGCTAATTTTTGTATTTTTAGTAGAGATGGGGTTTGACCATGTTGGCCAGAATGGTCTCGATTGACCTTGTGAACTGCCTACCTCGGCCTCCCAAAGTGCTGGGATGACAGGCGTGAACCACTATTGAGCCTTTAAGGCCGAGCTCCGGCATTTGCTGAGGTTTCCCTAGTATCTCTCCCCGGCCTACAGCTCCCAAAGCACTCTTTCTGGGCTCTCCAACAATCATTACTTCAATCTTCCCCACTAGACTCTGAGTTCCCTGTGGAGGGCTAGAGTCACTTTCTCTCCTATGGCCCCATGTCAATTCCTGGCACAGAGTAGACAGAAAGGCCCTACCCCCTCACCCGTCTGCACTTCCACCCTACCAACCCTACTCTCCCTGCCAGCCTACGCTGGCATCACCACAGTTCTCCCTGAGAGAGCCAGAGGTACTGCCAGCTGAACAGGGCAAAGTCTAGGGGATAAGGAATGGCCAGGAAGAGAAAAGGGTGCCCAGGGAATGCATGGGTGATGATGGCAACGAAGGGGTAGAGGACAGGCAGAGAGCCTGGATGGGGACCGGTTACGGACACCTAGCAGGTTTGGAGGCCGGAGCACCAATGGAGGTGGGAAGCGATGGGCCAGACCAGGCTGGTGGTATACTCTCGCGCTGCAATTCCCAGGGGAAGGAGAGTGGGGAAAAGGAGTCAGGGCAAAACACCGTCTAGTTGTCCTGGGGTTTCCAGAGCTGCGAAGTGGAAAGGGGTGGCGCAAGGGACGAAGCTGTCGGTGCTGCCCGCCGCTGGGCCCTAGTGGGTCGGTGCACGGCTGGGCTCAGCTCTGCACGGTGCAGGGGGAGGACCAGAGGACACTGTTACCTCTGCAGTCGCCGCCGCCCAGCCCAAGCCCCAGGCCGCCCAGGATAATCTCGGACTGGCCGTCGCTGTACATGAAGGCAGTGTCCAGCTCCGTGTGGCCGCGCTCCAGGAAGGCGCGCACAGCCGCAGCGCTGGCAGGCGGGCCCATGCGGCGCCCCATCTCCATGGTGCCCAGCACCGTGGCGGCCCGCGGTGGCGATGTCCGGGACATGGCGAGCGCGCGGGCCTCTGGCGGCGGGGAGCGACGCGCACAGTGGAGCGCAGCGCGTGGAGCAGCGCGAGACACGGCACTCAGCATGGCCGCGGCGCCTGCGTGTTTGGAGCCCGGAGGCCCAGGGCGGAGCGCGAAGGCGGTGAGGGGCGGGGACAGCAGACGCGGCCCCAGGGGCGCCTCCCGACCCGCTCAGCCAGGCGCGCGGCGTGGGGGCGGGGCCTGTGGCTTCCGGGGCGGGGCGGCGGCGCGCGGTCAGCTGACCCGGCGGGCTCTGACCCAGAAGTCGGTCCCTGGCGGCGGATCTGGACTTGGTGAGCCGGCCCGGGGGCAGGTGGCAAACCACGGCTGGGGGTCGGGGCTCCTGGGCTTCCCTGCTACGTCTTTCCAGTCCCCTCCTCCGGCCCCTGGACTGCTGAGGCTCCTGCGCCCCCCTTGTGGCGCGACACACTGAGGCGAGGCTCCGGGCCGGGACTGGGTGGCCCGCCACCTCAGGGGCGACCAGCACAGCCTCTGAGGCTGGCCTGGCCAGGGGTTGGGAGCCGGGTCCCCTTTCAGCCCCTGGTCGCGGCCGACCGGCCCCCTACCGTCTGATGGCTTTGTTTTTCCCGGGTCGGTCGGGAGAGGGCCCTTGCGGCGCTGGCCCCAGCAGCTGCGCTGTCATTATCCCTCCAAACAAGCGACCCGCACCGGGCTGAATCACCAGGAGGGAGCTGTGGCTGAGGACGCCGAGCCCTGGAGTGGGTGGTAGTCCCAAGACAGGACGCTCCTCCCTCCACATTCTCCCCAGGTGTGCAGGGGCGAGAGCCCACACTGCCCCTTCCCACGCCGTGCCTAGGGCAGGTTTCCAAACGTGTGCATGGAGAGTCTGGGTCTGGAAGTGTGAGGGATCCCGGGCCGGGGTCTCAGGTCTTACCTAATCAACTCTTACTGAAGGCGCCTGTGTGCTTGGATGCTGGAAGGGCTACAGTGAGAGCAAATAATAGTCATTTTGTGCTGTTGGTGTCAAGTGCCTGTGCCGGGCACCCTTGTAATGGCTTGGCCTGGATTGTATCATTTAACTCTGCGTCAGCCTCGGAGGTGGGTATTGCATTATCCCCCACTTTTCAGATGAGAACTGCGAGGCTCAGTCACTTGAGTTCTAGACTGGTAGGCGCTGGGCAGGTGTGTTCCAGAGTGATTTTCTCCTCAACCCTGGGCTGTCTGAGCTCACAGCTTGCCCCCTTTCTTCCTTTCTCCTTCCCTTTCTCTTCCCTCTCTTTCCCCTTTTTCTCCTTTCCTCACTCCCGTTTCCTCTCTTCTTCACCCTGTCCTTCTACCTCTCTCTCTTTCTCTCAACGTTTGCTGAACCTCTACATGTGTTTAGACCCAGAGAATAAGAAACGCACACTCCGGAGTGGGGAGAGTACGTTTCAAGGACACTGGTCTCAGAGGACGATGGTAGCATTCTTCAGGTGTGTGGAGGGGAGAGGATGAGGTGGGAGGTCTTGTCCAGCTGGCTCTCACAGGGCATCTTTGAAAGAGCAATTTAGGAGTGAGTCTTACTTCATGACCAGGCCCTTGCAGGGAAGCAGGACACTCCTAGGGGAAGAGACAGTATGCGCAGATGCCTGGAGACCTGAAATGACTGAAGATGTGGGTCAGGAGGGAGGAGATAAGGTTGGGTAGGTGGTTCTTGGAGTAACTTGAGGCCTGGCCTCAGGTAATTTGGACTTGATCCTGTAGACAAAGGTGGACACATGATCGGCGTTGGTCCTCGGCCCAAAGCATCCCTGACTCAGCTTGGGATCAAGGAGAGGAGGTTGAGTGTAGCAGGAGGCGCCATCTCCAGCCCGCCCTTTCTCAAAGTGCACCAGATGGACCAGAATCTCTAAGCCCCAGCCCAGGTACACTCCAAATTTTTAACGTGTACTCTCCAAGGGTGATTCCAGGGTACCCTTTCTGGGGCTCTTGCCGTCTCTACAGATGAGGTCAAGCTCCATTGCAACCTTGGACATCCATTTACTCAGAGCTGTTTGAACAGGAAGTGGGCCCATGCCTGGTTTCTGGGTGACAGGATGGCCCTCAGAGCAAGGCCCTTCTGATCAGGGATCAGGTGTGTCTCTGAGTGTCCTGAGCTCCAGGCTGCATGATCCTATCCAAAGTCAGGGGGCCACCCACCCAGTATCCTGGATCCATAAACCAAGGTACCTTCCTCAAGACAACCCCCCAACACATACACATAGTGGGATGCGTCCATTTCATTTCCTCCCTAACCTGGGGAAAAGGGGAAATGAGAGAGGGGCCCCAGGGTGGTTGAGATGCTGGACTCTCATCCTGAAAACAGTCGCTGCCGTGCATTGTCAGGCATGGGGCTTAGAGCTTTATGTGCATTTAGTCAGGACAGCTGCCCCAAGGAGTGAATGTCACTGGCCCCATTTTATAAGAGGGCTCAGGCAGGTTAACTCACTTCCAAGACCACTCGGCCTCACCTGTAAAATGAGCACAGTATACCCGACCTTGCTGGGGAGTGGTGAAGATGGCAGTGGATGACCTGCAGCCTTGTGTTCAGCCTCTACAAAGGGGTTGGTGGGGGGGTTCAGCCCAGTCGGGGGCGGTGGCTGGGAACATGAGGACTTGATTTGAAATCCCTTTGGCATTCTCACCTGGACTATATGGGTTTTTTTTTTTTTTTCTTTTTGAGACAGTCTTGCTCTGTTTCTCAGGCTGGAGCGCAGGGGCGCAGTCTTGACTCACTGCAACCTACACCTCCTGGGTTCAAGTGATTCTCCTGCCTCAGCCTCCCGAGTAGCTGGAGTTACAGGCATGTGCCACCACACCCAGCTAATTTTTGTATTTTTGATAGAGAGGGGGTTTTACCATGTTGACTAAGCTGTTCTCCAACTCCTGAGCTCAAGTGATCCACCTGCCTCAGCCTCCCAAAATGCTGTGATTACAGGTGTGAGCCACCACGCCCAGCCACACCTGGACTCTATGTTAATTTGGTGCGGCCTTCCAGGTCCCAGAGTCGGGGCATCAGGTGAAGCCTTCCAGCATCAGCTGTGCTGATGATCCTCCAGGTGGGCCACGAAGACACAAAGGAAGAGGCTTTCAGCCTCCCTGCCTGTGCCAGGCCCTGGAGATAGTCCAGTGAGCTGGGCCGACAGTGACCTGAGGCACCCTTATCTGCAGCTCCAGGGCCTCTGCCCATAGCAAGTCACATTAGGGCTGAGGGTCTACAGCTTCCTGAAAGGAAGTGCTGACTCACTTTCTCTCCCTCCTGGTGCTCCCTGGTCTCTGTGACCTCAGCAGTTCCATGGGGCCAGCCAGGGACTAGCTGAGGAGCCCAGGCCTCCTGACACAAGTGGGAATGAAGGCAGCTGGAGAGAGCCCTCACCTGGATGAGGAAATCCCCTCTGAGTGTAGGGAGAAGAGGGGAAGCCCACTTTCTGGCTGGGCAGTCATGCCAGACCACAGAGGCTTCCCTCTTTCTTTTTCTGTGTCTGCTTGCTAGGGAGCCACAGAAGGCTTCTGCCTTGCTGGTGGCAGACACACCTGAGGTGGGCGGTATGGCAGATGGCCATGAGCAGGGGGTGTAGGTCTGAGTCTTGGGTTTGATTCCTTAGCTTCCTGGCTGGGTGGCCCTGGCACATCACTCTGGCTCAGGCTCCTTGCGGATGTCAGTGGTCCCCACTTCACAGTTGCTGTAAAGATGAAACCTATGAATACATGCAGGATGCTTGGAATAGGCTGACAAAGAGCTCTCTGGTCCGAGCTGTGGTGACGATCACTGACGGAGATGGCCCAGCCAAGCCTCACTTTCCCTTCCTCCTCTAAGGTGTCACACAGGCAATGACTGCTCTACTCACTGTTCAGGGTGCCCGGGTACCGGGAGGGGCCTGCCCTGCCCAGCCCTGCGATCACCCATATTCTGGCTTTGTCAGTGTGACAGTGGGGAGGCGGCTGTGGACTCCCTACTGGTAGGCGTCCCCCACACTCTGTGAGCTCCTGGGAGGATACAGACTGCAGCGTCTCAAACTTGAGTCCTTGTCACTCATGCAACCCTGGGGATCCGCTGATCCTCTTCTCTACTTCCCTCATCTGTGTGGGGCATCCTGCTTTATGGTTTGTGTGTGTGTGTGCGTTTTTTTCTTTTAAGACAGGGTCTGGCTCTGGCTCTGTCACCAGACTCGAGTACAGTGGCATGATCGTGGCTTGCTCTGCAACCTCCACCTCCTGGGCTCAAATGATTCTCCCACCTCAGCCTCCTGAGTAGCAGCTAGGACTACATGCTTGTGCTACCACACCTGACTAATTTTTGAATTTTTCATAGAGACAGCGTTACTCAGGCTGTTCTCGAACTCCTGGGCTTAAGCGATCTTTCCCACCTCGGCCCCCAGAGTGCTGGCACGATGCCCAGCCCTTATTTTCTGTTGTTGTTTTTGATACAGGGTCTTCCCCTGTTATCCAGGCTGGAGTGCATTGGTGAGATCTCTATAGCCTCTACCTCCTGGGCTCAAGTGATCCTCCCACCTCAGCCTCCTGAGTGGCTAGGACCAGACAGGCGCACACCATCACACCACCATGCTTGGCTAAATTTTTGAGTTTTTTCTTTCTTTCTTTCTTTTCTTTTTTTTTTTTTAGAGAGATGGGTTCTTGCTGTGTTGCCCAGGCTGGTCTCTGTCTCCTGGGCTCAAGTTGTCCTCCTGCCTTGGCCCCCCAAAGTGCAGGGATTACAGGCATCAGCCAGCCAGCCATCGCTCCTGGGTACAACCTACTTTAAATTAGATAATGAGCTTGATGGGCCTGGTCTCAGCAGATCCTTACAGAGTAATTTATAATAATCAGAAGAAATTAGGGACAACCTAAGTGTTCGGGAGTTATAGGGCTCAGTTCTCCATGCTGTGTATGAACTCGTTTAACCCGTACAACAACCGGATGCGGGAGGCAGCACTGTAATGACCCCCATTTACAGATGAGGGCTCAGGCACGGAAGGGCTCAGTCTTTGCCCAAACTCTAGCATGAATGGGTGGTGAAGCAGGGATTTGAACATACCTGTCCCTTCTGCAGATCCAGTGCACTGCCTGCGCATCTAGTTGGTGTGTGTTTGCTGTGATCTGTGTGCCTGTAGGCTGATTGTGTCCTCGTGGGTAAAGATTATGTCTTTGCCCTTCTCTGGTTCAGGGCCAGGTGCCAGGTGATAAGGCTGGGATGAGCTTAGTTTGGAATGACCATGAATAGGAACTGGACCTTCCAGTGCTGAAAGCCTCCTCTATCTCCCTGTAGAACCCTTGCCGGCCTCAGAACACCAGCACCCTCACTCCTGTGCAGCTGTGCTCGGCCCCGGGGACCCTTCCTCCACAGCCATGCTCTGGAAGAAACTGGGCTTCCGCAACTTCTCCAGCTGCCCCAATGGCTCCATCCAGTGGATATGGGATGTGTTTGGTGAATGTGCCCAGGACGGCTGGGATGAGGCCAGCGTGGGCCTGGGCTTGATCTCTATTCTCTGCTTTGCTGCATCTACCTTCCCGTGAGTAGTGTCTGGGAGGCAGGGCCAGGGTAGGGCTGTGGGATTGGGGGAGTAGATCCAGCTACTGCTCAGAGGGAGGTTGCCTGGCAGACCCTGGGCCTCTCCAGTCTGGAGGCTGGGTATGCTCCCTCCACTTCCTACCCATCCAGGAAGGGTGCCCAACCTGCACTGATCCCTACCACAAGCCAAGTCTTGTGCTGGGCAGTGCTGATAGAGAGATCATCACTTTTGCAATAGTTTATTGAGAACCCACTATATACCTGGCTTGCTTCCAAGTACTTGCTATATTTCTACCTCATTTAATCCTCACAACCTTGTGAAATAGGGACAGTTACTATCCATCTATTTTACAGATGAGGGATCCAAAACCCAGAGAGGTTAAGTAATTTGCTTTAGGTTACACAGCTGGTCAGAGATGGGGCGGGAGAGTAAGAGGGCTGGACTGCATCAAACACAGCCTCTGTCCTCAAGGGTTTGGCAGGCTGGTGGCGGAGACAGCGGCAATGAACATAACACTTTGTGGCCGCTTCTGTGATCAGGGAGCGAGGACGCTGCACAGGAGTCAAGAGCATCCTGACCTGGGCGTGTCATTTGACTGCTCTGAGCCTCAGTTTCCTTGCTTGTGAAATGGAAATATTGTTACCCAGCTCAGACGGTTGCTAGGAGGATGGCATGAGGGTGTATAGGGAAAGCTGCCCACTCAGGGCCTCTACACAATGTTTACACGAGCCTGAAAGCTGTCAGTGGTGACATTGCTATTATTTCATTACGTGAAGCACAGAGGAGGGACACCCACCTGATCTGCAGAGGCGGAAGAAGGTTACTGTCAGAAAGGACCTGGAGGCCAGGCACAGTGGCTCACGCCTGTAATCCCAGCACTCTGGGAGGCCAAGGCGGGAGGTTCACTTAAGATCAGGCGTTTGAGACCAGCCTGGCTAACATAGTGAGACCCCATCTCTACCAAAATAAATAAATAAATAAATAAAATGAAAAAGCAACAAAAAAGAAGTCAGCTGGAGGTGTTGGCATCTAGGCTAAAAGCCTAGGATGGGACAGAATTGAGGGGTGAGAGCCAGGAGCTGAGTGTGGAAGAGCAGTTCAGACAGAGGGAGCAGCAGATGTACAAAGAAGGGGGCAGCTGCGTTTCTATGGCAGACAGAGTGTGTGGGGATCACAGGAGTCATCAAAAGGCCATATAGTCTAAGGGCCATCCTCTGCTGTGAAGAAATATGCTCTTTATCCTGAGGGATAAAGAGAAGGGTTTGGTCAGGGGCTTGACACTGCTTTAGCAGGCTTTATTGGGTGGGAGTTCACATCACATGCCATTAGCCCATTCAATGTACAAGTCATTGTTTTAGTATAGCCACAGAGTTGTATAACTGTCACCACAATTGATTTGAGAACATTTTCGTTAGCCCAAGTGAACACCATCCCCATCAGCAGTCTCTTCATTTCTCCTGAAACCTCTGTCCCTGGCAGCCACTGCTCTGGTTTCTGTCTCTATTGATTTGCCTATTCTGGACATTTCATGATTCATGGCTTCTTTCACTTAAAGTAATGTCTGCAAGATTCATCTGTGTCATAGCAGGTATCAAATCAGTACTTCATCCCTTTTTGTGGCTGAATACTGTTTTACTCTGTGTATATCACATTTTGTTATCTGGAACCATTGATAGTCATTGGGTTGTTTCTACTTTTCAGCTATTAGGACTAATGTTGCTACACACATTCATTTTTTTTTCCCTGGGCGCAGTGGCTCACACCTGTAATCCCAGCACTTTGGGAGGCCCAGGTGGGCAGGTCGCCTGAGGTCAAGAGGTTGCCACCAGCTTGGCCAACATGGTGAAACCCTGTCTCTACTAAAAATACGAAAATTAGCTGGGCATGGTGGCGGGCACCTATAATCCCAGCTACTTGGGAGGCTGAGGCGGGAATCACTTGAACCTGGGAGATGGAGTCTGCAGTGAGCCAAGGTCACACCACTACACTCCAGCCTAGGGGACAAGAACAAGACTCCATCTCAAAAAAAAAAAAAAAAAAAGTCCACCTCTAGCTAATTTTTGTATTTTTAGTAGAGAGGTGCTTTCACCATGTTGGTCAGGCTGGTCTCAAACTCCTGACCTCAGGTGATCTGCCCACCTCGGCCTCCCAAAGTGCTGGGATTACAGGTGTGAGCCACCACACCTGGTCTTTTTTTTAGATGGAGTCTCACTCTGTTGCCCAGGCTGGAGTGCAGTGGAGCAACCTGAGCTCAGCTCACTGCAACCTTCGCCTCCTGAGTTCAAGCGATTCTCCTGCCTTAGCCTCCCAAGAAGCTGGGATTACAGGTGTGCACCACCATGCCTGTCTAATTTTTGTATTTTTAGTAGAGACAGGGTTTCATGATGTTGGCCAGGCTGGTCTCAAACGCTTGACCTCAGGTGATCTGCCCGCCTTGGCCTCCCAAAATCCTGGGATTATGGGGGTAAGACACTGTCCCTGGCCAGCCGGTCTTTTGTTACTGTAGCCCTCCCAGTGGGTGTGAAGTAGTATCTCATTGTGCTTTTGATGTGCCTCGCTCTGATGGATGATGAAATGGAACAGGTTTTCATGTGCTTACCAGCCATCTGTGGACCTTCTCTGGAGAAAGGTCCCTTCAGATCCTTTGTCCACTTTCCAGCTGGATCATTTGTCTTTTTATTGTTGCTTTGTAAATGTTCTTTCTATATGCTGGATATAACATTGCCATCTGATATGTGATTTGCAGATATTTTGTGGGTTGTCTTTTCACTTTTTTTTTTTTTTTTTTTTTT